TCTAAATTCTTATTGGATTACGATAAGCTCCTTGTCCACCAATGTCGTACCTATAATTAGTTTTAATTAGGGTAGCAAATGGAACATAACTTCTTTATAATTTCTTTTCATGTTTCATTTAGTATTATAAGTAGTAATACAATTCATTAAAATGTTATGACACACTCTTGATGACTGGTTTTTTATCAGGCGATGCCATTTTTTCAGAAACAACACAAATTATTCAGACAATACCAAACGCCAACAGCATTGGAGGGCAAGTAGTGATACGCCTCTGTGCAGAGCATGTGTATGTCTTACAAGAGTTATAGTGGGGTTATATTGAAAAAGAATTTGGGCATATTGTAAATAGAGTGCTCATCTAAACCTTAGAATGTGTATAGAGAAATAGGTAATGAAAGAATGTTGATATTTGAAGATGTATTTTATATAAAGGGGAAAATAAATATATTGATGTTCCATTAATTTTCAAAGCTCTAAAAAACAAAAATCACACTTGAAAAAACCTTTTACTACCGTGTTCCCAATCATTTATTCAATGCATAATTGGAAAAGAAACAATATCAGAAAACATTGATGTTAACAGTTATTCAAAAATAAATCGATAAAAATTGTAGACAGGACTATCACTAAAATTATATTTTTTTTTGCAATTTTCCACAAACCAATTCAAACACATTTTATTATTTGTTTCTTGAAAATTTTGACTTGATTAGCGAAATTTCGGAAAAAGTCGAGATCGAAGTCGTTATTTCGAGATTGAAGTCAAAATTTTGAGATTCAACTAGTAATTTCGGAATTGAATTCATACACAAAAGGTTACAGAAATAATCATTTCATTACACTTTCCAAATTCAAAACTATTCTTTCAATATTTCCGAAAAAATATTTCCAAAACTATTTGATACTAAAAAATGTATTTAAATATACTGGGTGTCCCATCGACAACATTCATCAAATTTTTTGTAAATATATTTGGCAGCTGAAATTAGCGAGACACTTCTAAGTTTATATCAAGAAAGCTATAATGAGGCATACTTCATAATTAACACTTACTTATTCAACTTCGTCCTCTCATCTCTGGAGCCACTTATTTTATTTTTTTGAAGAAAATAGGTTCAGTACTTTGATTGTAACGTGTTTTTATTCACTAAACGACCTTGTTTGCGTTTTGCATTTTTATGGATACAATATCGAGAAATGAAAATGAACCATCTTCAAAAACACAATTGAACTTCATTACCAATTACCAACATTTATTATTGTTAAAATCCAACGCTCTTAATAATTATGTTCCCTGAGCCTTCAAAGGATATAGGCTTCAGTTTTCAGATGACGGTATGAGACAGGGTAATCGAGGAGGCTATTCCATGATACCCCTCAATTTGCCGGCTTCAGTTTTCAGATGACGGTATGAGACAGGGTAATCGAGGAGGCTATTCCATGATACCCCTCAATTTGCCGTCCACGAAATTCTTCGATTAAGTATTTGCGAACGGAAGCATCGTGTGAAGGTGCCCCTTCCTGATGAAATATCAATTTGTTTTATTGAGATTGTCATTTTTTATATCATTTCATCTTACCTGGAGTTGATTTCATCGTATGAAAGTTGTAAATAATGTCAATTGTTTATGACCAATAAGACCCCAATATGATCTCATAAGATAGCAGCCCACACATTGATATTTTTGAGATTGCTGCGTATGTAGTTCTCAAAAAGAATGAGGATCAGTTTTCCTTCAGTATCGACAGTTGTATCTATTCACTTCATTATTCACAACGAACAATAATAAAAAAAAATATTCTGTGCATAAAATTTCTATTCCGATTTATCGTGTCACGGCAATCGGAGACATCTTCGTTAAAGTGTTGATATATCTGAACATGGCCCAAAATCACAATCTGTACTTCATTCTTCATAGCGAGCTGGACTTTATTTTTTTGCTTCTGACCCTGTCTGCAAAAACTTTTTCATAAGATCTGATAACCACATAGGTATATCATTCTGTCACTTCTGGTTTTGAATTTTCAAATGGAATACCCTGTAGCGTAAAGTATCTGTGACTAAGATAAGTTGGCAAAAGTACATTTTCTTTTTCCAACTACTATTTTTCAAATAGCAAACCGAAAACCTTTAAGTCTAACAATACTAGTTTATTTGGAATCAAAAATAAAAACATACCTCAAACATTCTGTTTTTCCGTTAATCAGCTGTCGCCCCGATACGAACGACAACTCTCAGAAGTTGATAAACTTGTGCGACCTAAGGACTAACGAGGTCTTATCTTTTAATGTGTGATTCCTAACACGGTTGGAGAATCATCCCAGCTTCAACCAGATGAATTCTCTCGAGAAAAATATCTGGTCGAGGCGGGAATCGAACCCACGGCCTTCCGATCGTGAGTCAAGCGCACTAACACCGCGGCCAATTCCACAAACATAAAACATTACCAAGGAAAATACTGTGCCATGGATAGCCATGATGCATAATATTTAGTAGTAATATTTATCACATCTTGGGAAAACAAAACAATCATTTAGGTAATCACAGTGACAAGGTTTATGAGCAGACTGTTAAAATTTACCGATTTTCGTTAAATTTCATTTCAATGTTTCAACAAAATAATTCACACCGAAAGTGAAAAATGGATATGTTATCAATATTTGGAGAATGTCACAGAAATTCCAGGAAGTTTGCTCAGTTATATTCCCAAAGATATCCTAATTGGCTACATCCATCCCATCAGTACTTTCCGTATGTCGCGAATTGTTTCAAGCAAGAAGTAAATCGAGAGATGAACAGTTTTATTATGAATGAGGAGACTGAGATTAACGTTCTTGCTATGGTTGAGGAGGTTCCTGTGACGACACAGGTTTTATGTTTCTGATGTTGGTTAAGTATACAAATTCAGTTCAATAAAAAATACTAGACAATCTGATTTATGTGAGAAATTGTAAGACATTGTATGAACACTTATACAGGCGCAGTGGAAAACTGAGTGTCCAAAGGTTCTCTAAGATTGTTGATTGAAGCGAAAATTGATTTAATATTATGTTCAACCTGGTGAAAGTTCTGGATTAATTTCCAAGAAGCAAATCCTATAAGTTGATTCCAAAAGAACGTTTTCGAAAAAAATGTAACTTGGTTCTTTAAGTCTTAGAGAACCGGTTTCTTTCTCAACATTTTTTATATGTGCATGGTCAGAAAAAATCAAATTGCTGCTCGTATGATATAAGCACCTCTACCGATTCATTGTAGATTGGAGGAGAAAGCATGACATCAATAATGGATATTATTTTGTGACAGCTAAAGATATTTCAATCCTCACAATGAACCATAAATAGCTTTTCAATTGCTGAATACAAATTATGTTCAAATTGAAAGGGAAGTATAAGAAACTTCCGAAGGAAACGTGAGAGCAATTAACTTCACAATAAACTTTTTACAAAGATAACTAGATCGAGTATAGAAGGTACAGCTAATGCATAAAATTTATGTATCTATTTATGCAAGTTACTTTTAAACTCCATCACTAAATGAATACGGCTCGAATAATCTAACAGACTGATAACAGATTTTGACACATCTACTGCACATCTTGACGGAGGGGCTTCTCACCGGCCATGACTCAGTCCAGCGCTGTACTTTCAGGTACAAACTGGAAAAAAGCGTTCCTGTGAATGATATTATTCGATTCAATTGAAAAACAACTGTTTGAAGTACGAACTGAATAGGGAAAAGTTATTTTTGTATAATTCAATGTTCATATCCAAGTTGTTTCGAAGTACTTTTTCTTTCGTGTCATTGAATGTTCATGTGAAAGTAGTTTCGGGAGGTATTTTTCTTCCAGTTTGTATCCAAAAGTGAATAATCTGCATGGTCTACAGATCTTCGAATTTAATCGCTTTCTTTCTTCCTTTGGCAGTTTTTCACTTTTTTGTATAAAGATGGAAAAAAGAAAGCCAAAATCCTTCTCTTCTAAAATATTTAACAAAATAAAACTCGATTTCCCAGATTAAAAAAAAAGCGGCAGTGAATATACTTTCTCTTTCATATTTGAAAACCTAAACCATTCCATAAAGCCTTCAGCCTAATTTTGTGAAAATATTCATTATGAGAAACATTTTTTGTTCTTTTATTGTGAAATATATCGATAAATATATTATTGGAATGTGTTTGAAGACGGAAATATTTCAAGGCAATTTGTAACAATTAATTATTATATCAAAATAAAGGGCGAAGTTGAACTCTTCTTATTTTGACTACCAGAAGATTTGCTATTTTACTTGACTCCAATAAAACCTGTGTATATTAAATTTGGATTTATTATATCACTCACCTAGAAGTATCTAAACTTTAGAATCAATCAGCCGTATATTGTTTAGAAAAATGACCATCGATATTTTCCGATTCCGGGAAGGGAGCCTGAAAATCAGCTACCAAGCACAAGGAAAGCAGCGGGCGCGCAAAGGAGTGTTAATAGAAAAATACTTTTTTCAAATGAAGAAATACATGAAAAGGGAGATTGAATTATATCAAGGTTACGTACAGCGCCACCTGCCCGCGTATATATTAAGCAATAATGTCGATAATTCTGTCAAATAGAGATCCCGAGCTTGAGAATTACAAACAAACTGACAAACATACATACATACAAACATACAGGTGAAGCTGATAAAAGCGCGTTAAAAATGAAAAATAAAACTTCACTTACAAATACAAGTGGTAGAAAAACATAGAAGTGTTATTTCTCATTTTTCAAAATATCTGCTCGATATTTGATTTTTCTATGAAGGTAAGAGTTTTCTTTCATGATTGAATTACCTTGAATTATAACACGTTATTATTATGGAAAAATGTGTTCTCATTCTCAACAAACCTTCTTTCATGAGCAATACGAAAAGATGAAATCAGTTTTTTTATTATTCCTATAATAGTAATAGAAACAATGCTGAATGGGGTGCGAGGAAATAAAAAGGTGTGGAATAAAAACAGAAAGACATATTAAAATAAATATATTTTCACATTGAAACATGTCTATATAAATAACAGTACAAAAAAGTATTCAAAATATTACGTAATCTATATGACAGATTGTTTTGATTGAAGTATAAGTCCTTCAGAAGTTAGAATAAATTCATCGAAACACTAGTTACAAATTCTGAAAGCCAGCCTTTATTATGTTTCATATAAATGAGGAATTATTTTTGAGCCATTTTTTTTTATGAATAATTGTATGTACAATTTTGAAAAGGAGATTTTTCTCAGTATCCAAAAGTGTTTTTTGTAAATAATTTCTTGAAAAAGACCAGATTTACTTGCAGTACCCAAAATCAGTTAATTTCTGTTCATCACAGTGCAAAAATCTGATTTATTTTACATATGTTTCAACACTGAATTCATCATACAAGCTTTGTTCACTATTAAATGCTACAGCAACTCTGGCAAAGAACAGAAATTTCATTTTAATAATAGTTATACGGTAACAGATACAAAAACGAAGAGACTGTATTATAATCCATTGATCCAAGAAATAAAGTTACAGTTATTTTATTAAATTAAATTTTTCTTTTGTATGGATGTCTTCGCATAATTGACAGGCTGACTGTAACTCAACGTGTCATAGGGCCGGAGTCAAATGGGGATGATCCTTTTTTTTTGTCTTATGCCACTTGCACCATGGTATGGAAAGCATCGAACAGATACAGTGATAGTGTTTCAAGATAATATACCGAATTGATAATTTTGACTTGAATGATGAAACAAGCAGGTAGGTACTAGACAGCTTAAGTCAACTCATTTATCTTTTTTGGCAACAACTTCACTGATCGTAATTTTCTGAATTTTTTAACGTCTTGTGGTTTTTGATTTTTGCATGATGTTCCTCCTTATCTTGAACATATTGTATAATAATAAGCATTAAAATATTTCATTAAATTTCATAATCAGTATAAACATATTTTAATAGAATACATAAGTTTATTATATTATTTCTGTTGCTCATAACTGGCATGTTCTGATTGAACAAAATATTTCAATTAGAAAATATAAGATCCATATAAAACTGGTTGAATGTAGTAGACCGTTTCTTCAATTGAAATTACTCTCTTTCATCAATAACTTCATTATTTAAAATTCCATATCACAATAATGATTGTTGAAACACCATTATTAATTTGAAAAGGGACGGTATTTGTTGATACTTTGTCTAGCAAAAAATTGAAAGTACTCCATACAGTGAAATATCAGAATTCTACAAGATTCACATTTTTAGTTAGTTCATCTAATGTCATTTTAACATCCACCATAGTTGGTCTTTTTCGTTTTTCTTTCAAACAGCTTTGGGCAACTTTAAAAAGTTCTACAGCATAATTCACATTTTCCTCTTCCCAGCTACCTGCCCTATTATCTACCAAAGGAAGTATGTTATCATCATCAATAGTTTCTTCAATATGTGTTACCTATAAATGTAAAAAAGCTCTGTTTGATAATGCTAAGAAAAATTAAGATTCAGAAGAGTTATTTTATCCCTTTATAATTATTTGGGGGCCTAACTATTTCATTAAATATTTATTCTATCAAGAGAAATGTTGTTGACTTACCAAATCATTCCCCGTCCTGTTATCATCTAAAGGGGGCAGAGATGTGATCAATTCCAGAAGGACAACTCCAAAACTGAATGTATCCAGCTTTACAGATATATCTCCTCCGAATGCTTCACGAGCCATGTAAGCAGATGTTCCATAGACCATAGTCGCAACAGCATTATTTTGATTGGGAATTAGTTTAATCAAGCCAAAATCAGCCAACTAATGAAAAAAATATTTCAGTCAGATTGTGAGAAAAATTATTGAAATAAAATTATCATTTGTCAAAATCATTACCTTTGGATTGTTGTCTGAAACAAGTAAAATGTTAGACGAGTTAATATCTCTGTGAATAAGGGGAGTGGCAAAAGCAGCATGCAGGTAAGAAACTGCCTTTGATATTCCAATAGATATACTGAGTCTGGACTTCCATTTCAGTACATTTTCAGGCTCCTAAAATGAACAAGAAAATTTTATGAGAAAACAGAATATAATACCATAATTTAAATTGAAAGGGGTATATTTTATTTGTTTCAAAAGATACTTTCAAAACAAATACTTTTATATGAACACCCAATTATACAAAAAAAACTTTTCTCTATTCAGTTTTTATTAAAAAAATTCGTTATGGAATTGCATCGTATATCATTCACAAGATTGCTACATATAGTAAATAAAAGAGGTGAAATTTCACATACATGGAACATTTTCATCCTCACTGGTAAACACCCGATGTTTTGCCTTAATACACTTGCCTTGCCTATATATATATTATTTTAGGAGAGAATATATACCCCTATCAATTTAAACAACATTCCTATGGCTGGGATTCAATAAAA